AAAATAAAGTTTAGAACTGGTTCTCGTCGAATATTCAACCATCCATCAGATGCTAAGATAATAGTTGATGCATTTTCCATAAATTACAAATAAATCCATAAGAATAAAAATTTTAGATAAATGGACATACTTCAAATGGTCTGAAAATCATAAGAATCTTGTTCAATATTCCTGTTTTGCTTGCTTCATACGCATGCAATCGCCGCTCCAACATTCTGGAAAAACAAAGGAAAGTATTGTTTAATTAAACTACACGAATAATTCGGGCATTATTATTAACCGGGTCAAATTTTGTTCAGATCGTGTGATATGATTTTAATGTGCATCGTTTCATTATATCATTCTAAATTAAAAATGACCAATGAAATGATGCTCATTGGAATCATATCACATGGTCTGAAAAAAAATTTGGTGATGATGAAATTTATCCAGTTTTATTATTATAAGCTTACCTTTCCTCAGAAACCAAGCGTTCTAGCTGCTCAATATCTTTTCTAGTCATTTGTTGATTGGAATCTGGATATTTTGCGTTTATAACTCTTTGTTTTTCACGATTCACTCTGAGATGACTTTCGATTTCAGAATCCAATGGACCAGATTGACCTGTCCCTTTTATCATTCTAATTGGAAGTAATGATAGTCCGGGAGCCTTTCACAAATATGTGCGAATATCATTAAATACAGAAATATGAAAAATAGTTGGTGTAAAAATATAGAAATCACGTGAACTTACAGTGTACACAATAAAAATGATCATTCCAATTATCATAAGAATAGCTATAATGAAAGAAATACTGTTTTCGCCAACTTAAGAAAAAATGCAAATATATTTATTCACCTAATATAATAAACAATTTATCATGATGAAAATATATTATTAATAAACTTACGAGTTCCAGTTAAGAATTTTTTGAAAAAATCCATATCTACTGGTATTTTTTTATTTTTGGGCTGTGCAATAATTCCAACTGTGAAACAAACCAGCATGAATGCCACAAAAAAACAGGTGTATTTTAAGGCACCTAAAATGCGCTACAGTATAAAAAAAAAATAAGATTGAACGTTCTTTTGGCATGTTAAACTAAACACATAATTGAAACTCACCTGATGACTTGATGCACCCTCATCATATTCTTCAAAATAGAAATAAGCGAATGGAATCACGAATGAACAGAATATAGCAATCAAACCGTACATTCCTATCATAATTCGATTAGTAATTCAGTAATAATTCAGTAATAATTATTATTTACTACAATGATTGCTTAGCCTTTAAATTCGAATTTATTAATATTACCATAATAAACAGCATTTATTTGATTTAAAATATCTTGAACTTGATCTTCAGTAGCCCAATCATGCTTTAATCCAGTATTTAAATTAACCGTTGAGGATACTAAAAATATATCTACAGGAAATAATGCTATTGCACTTAAACACAGAGTTAAGGAGGAAATCGTGACACATGTAGCCAAAAGTTCGCTATCACGACGGTCTTGGTAATATTTTGTGAACAGGAAGCTAAATGCGAATAGAACCTTATAAGATAATAATAAGAAAATATATTAACGTTAATAGTTGAAGTGAAAATAAATTGAGGAAAAAATTGAACACTTAAGTGTTGGTGCATTTCTTATTAACTACTTACACCAATAATGATAACAAAAGCTAACCAAGCTCCTGCAAGTGCTGCCATTGCATTTCTCTCTATAGGGTATAAATTCAGAAAAGATATCGATAAAAAAAATACGTAAACTTTATCTGTTATTTAAGTTTTTTCCGTTATTTGTACCAATACGTACGTACGTACGTCATATTTGGCGTATTTGAAGCATTTTGGAGCAAATGGCTGTAATTGTACGATTGACTGGTCACGAATTTCACGTGATAATAGATTTCAGACCGGTGATCCAAAAATTAAGGTATTGAGAAAAAAAAAGGGAACTGTAATTCATCGCCAATGTAAACCTCTAGTTGAATCAAAATTTTATTCAGAAAATAAACAGCAGTCGTGTTAAGGTTAGGTTAGGTTCGAGAAAGACAAAATTGAACATAAGGATTTTTTCATAGATAATCACCGATCTTCGCGTTACAGCGATCCTGCACCCTGATTGGTTGATCTGGGAATAATGATCTAAAAATGCACGTGGAAACCCCGCTAAAATGCATATGCCCAAATAATATGACGGGGTTTTTTAACTTCTCTAAATGCAATATCTCTTTAAGTACATATTTATCCAGGTTTTTTACATAGTGTTGCATTTAATGAGGTTTTGACTGTAAATGTTTCTGAATTAGTGTTGTCATGAATGTCTATGCAATTTGTATATATGAGTGACGCCTAAGGAAAACCACTCAAGTTTATTACCGCATCATTTCGAAATAACGCCCCTGGGGCGTCATTTAAAGATAATACGCTATTTTTATTTACCAGAATCAGCTCTGACGGCGACATATACGTATTACACGTAATTAATTTACTTACGTATCATATTGTCGAAGTCTGGTTTTCTAGGGATGGCAAATGATTTAAATCATAATGTTTTAAATCAGTTTTATATTGCTTTAAATTGATTTATTTTATGATTT